GTCCGGTGAGTTTAATGAAATCAGTCATGCTGAAATATATTTCATAAATCCTATGTCGACAACCTTAAATTCAATAGCAGCTGTGTAGTATTCAACCAAAATTCTTACCCAAAGGGAAAATGAACTTGAGACACGAATTGGCTGAAAGGCCAGAGCCAACAGTATGAACTTAAAAGACTACCCAAAAAATTATTTCCCTAAAATACACTAAAGCATTTGACCTCGCATTTGCATTTATACGCTTTTTACAAACTATTCATGTTAAGTGTATGGAAATTTATTGGAAACATGGAAACGTAGATATGTCCAGACCTGGTTCAGAAGTCCAAAGATGGAGGTTTGGATGCCTGACCTCGCATTTATCATTTGGATGCCTGACCTCGCATTTGACACATGCGAGGTCTGAAGCAAAATTTTTTTTTTTTTTTAGATTTTTGCAAAATTAGAAATTCAATAATAAATCGCATTTGCCGAATGCGAGCTCAGCGAACATCACTTAGACAGAATGCCAAACTTAAAAAACCCCATTTGTAGAAAAATTTTAAATTTCATCACAAATTTAGAAATTTCTCTTAAAATGATTCGAACCAGATGCATGGAGATTTTGGAAAATTTCATTTTTGACCCCTGACCTTTTAAACAATCTCACTGTGGCCCAAAATCCGAAAAATATGACTCGATTTTACCCCTTTTAAGTTTTAATCCTCTTTTGTATATTTTAAGTATGTTTTTAAGCATTTGATTTCTAGATTTTGGGGCATGAATAAAGCTTAATAATTTTTTTTTGGGGCATGAATAAAGCTTAATAATTTTAGGGCATGAATAAAGCTTAATAATTTTTTTAATACCTTGTTGGGTTAGATTCTTGGGTTAAGGATAATTTTAGTTGGGTTTTTGTTGTTTTTTCTTTGGGTTTTGGCATTGGGTTAGAAAGTTAAAGCCCAACCCTTTTGATTCTTTTTCTTTACTTGGTAAAAGGCAGGCCAGCCTACACTTGTTCTTGAGGCTTTTCGTTGGGTCAAATGGCTTCTGGCCCAAAAAAAATATTGCAAAATGGCCCAAGTGGCCTTTTACATTGCAAATCTGATACGCAATTTGCAATCTGGACCCTATAATTTTTGAGTAATTTCATTGTGACCCTAAATACTTTAGATTTCTTTTAATTAGGTCCCTAAGTTAATTTCAATTTGGTCCCTAAACTTTATTTTTATTTATTTGACCTCTATTTTTGTAATAATTATTAATTTGACCCCAGAAACTTTTTCAATTTTTGCAATTGGGTCCCTACCAGTTTTGATTTCTTAAATATAAGTTGTTTATCTTCTTTAATTGTTAATTATACTTCATTTAAATGCTTTAATTAGTAGATTTCATAGTTATTTGTACTTCTTTATAATTTATTTGTTAATTAAATTGGTACCTTGACCATTTTGCTGATTTTGGAATATAAATAGGGCACATTCTACCCCATTTAACCACTATTTCAAGGGAGGTACCTTCTAATATTACTTTGAATCCTCTTATGTGCTTCTATGTGCCTTTTATATGTGATTGCATGTTTCGTGTGTTTTTTCCTTGTATTTATTCGTTTTATTCTTTTTAAAATTTTATTTATTATATTTAATTTTTGATGATTATTTGAGAGGCATTTAAATGTCAAATTGTAATAGATAGATGTTTAAGACATGTATTTAGTTAGGCTATGTAATAGATAGATTTTAATTTTGTCAAACATGTAATTAGTTAGATAAATGTAATAGTTAGGTTATTATTTTTTAAATTTCCCCCCTTAGATTGTAGTTAGGACCCCAAATGTAATAGTTAGATCCTTATATGCATTTTTTTACTTGTGTGCTTGCATGCTTGTGTACTTATGTGTTTATTCACTTTTTTTAGAACCTTTGCATCTAGATATTATGCTTACGTGTTATGTGCTCTATGTGTTTTACGTGTTTACTTGCTTTAATTATATTTTAAATGATTTATTTGTTTATAATAAATATATAACATCACCACACTAGTTCAATGCTAGTTGTGGTCTTTTTCCCCATTTTCTCACTAGTCCAACGCTAGTGAGAACTTGTAAAAATGGATTAATCCAATTCTAGACCCGTTAGGCAGTTTTCGTGCTAGATTCACATTTTTTGTGTGACATTCATCGTATTTCATATATGTTTTTCATTTTTAGAATATTTTCTCATCTTGTATGATATTTCTTCTATATATTATCTTTCTTATCCCTATGTGAGCAAAACATAGCATTTAGACTTGCATTTCATTTAGGAAATTAGGAATAAATTAATTCATTTGCTTGACTAGGTTAGGAGGGTGACCCTTCAAATATGGGAAATGAACAAGTATGGCTTCTTAGCCTTAATACGCTCTTATCCCTTCTATAAAAGGGAAAATTGAGTCACGAATTTTAGTCTCCCGTACCCGTTATATTGCATTCCCCTACCCCGTTACTTTCTTTTTGAGTCCCATCTTTTACATTTTTCGTGACTTCTTCTAAGAATCATTTTTGGATCTCACAATAAATGTGATTGGCATCAATTAAGTTTTGAAGAGAGATCTTACCCCTTTCGATACTCCTTAGGTCTAGATTTGCATCCATGAAAAAACATCCTAATGTGATAAGTTTATAGGTTGGATTAGGAAAATTTTCGACTAAATCTTGCAACTAACCTTGGTTAGGTTGAAAGGGTGCCTTAGTTTTGAGTCTATCAAATTTTTGCTTTCCCTTTCTTCAACCATGACTCCCAAACCCGTTTTTTTTGTTTTCAAAAATTTGGAGTCGTCTAAAAGGGATTTTATTTATTATTTATATACTTTAAAAATATATTTTGGGTGATTTGGTGCACCTAAACTCGATACCAAGTGGCGGCTTCTATTTTTTTTAAAACCCTTTTTAGATTATTATTTTGGGCCTAAATCGTCGTATATTTTAAGTTCTATTTTAGGCCCTTTTTCTTTATTTATTCTTTAAAATAAAAAACTAATTTCAAATAAAAATTAATCAAAAAAATCATTCTTTCAACACATAAACTTTATTTCAAAAAATGGGGCGCGACATTTGATAGACGATTTTGTTGGAATTCACATATTAATTAGGAATAATTGGTCATTATAATTAATAAATTTAGTTATACACTCATATCCTGTAAATGTTCTCTTAGATAATCTGAAAACTAATCTCCATATCTATTGAAAACTAATTAAATGCATTCAAGCCGAGCAAGCAAAGTTCTGAGGAGAAAATAAAACAAAATCTATATAAACTCAAGCTTGATCTTTTATGTACGATGATATCTAAAATACAGCAATGAATCTTCTATTCCACTTTTTATTATATCATTATTTCTCCTTCATAAACATCATAATTTAAGTTATTTTTTATTTTCTTAATAGCCAATAACTATTGAGTGAGTAAAAAACAACACATAATTTCCTGGCTTTCTTTGTTGCTTAGATGTGATATCATCCTTCTGTTTATAAGTAGGAATAACAACACATAACTTCCTTATGCAATGGGCTTGAAATATTAACAACCATGAATTGCATGAACAAACCTTTAGTTCTTCTCACAGAAAAAAGGCCTAACCCTGCAGTAGTATAAGGTCAGTTGATTCTCTTGTTAATTTGAATTCCATATGTAATTCTTGAATACATAGACATTTGCGATTGCAAGACAGATGATATGCTACATTTTTTTTTTTTTTGGCCTTTTTAAGTTCTATTCTCTTTATTTTTTTTCCTCACTTTTATCCATTCATTTGTACTTTTAAAAGATCAAGAGTTTTTTTTCCCTTTTTCCTGCCATTCTAAAGAATATTAGTAACAAAAATCAACCAATTTGCATCTCCCATTTTCTTGATTTACTTCGAAGTATGATCTATCTAAATCCTTACCTCTATATACCTCTTTTTAGTTGGTTAAAATACCTAAATTGACTATTTTGCCGATACAAGTAAAATAGGCAAAATTGAAAAAAAAACATTTGTAGCAAGCGGTGGTGGCAAAGGGTGATAGGTGATGGTGGTGATTAGTGTGTTGAAGCCCTAAGACCAAAAGCCCCACGACGCCAAATAAGAATTCAAAAAGAGGCGGTTTAGTCACATTTACCTAGCATGAAAATATCTTAAACGCAAATTTCTTTACAATTTGCATTAAAAAAAAAACAGTTTTTGCGCTTAGTATATTGTTTGGTTTCCTTGTTTTTCCTTAAGAATTGATTTATATCAACCTGATTTCATTCACCAATCTGATTTTATTTCATAAGAAAACTTAATGCAATAAAATTCTCCTCTTTTTTTATTTTTTTAATCAGAGGGTTCGAATACGAGATCTTACATTTAGACTCTCCCTAAATAAACCAACCCATCCTTTCCATATTATCACGCAAGTAATATCAAATCATCAAATCCAACCGTCTCATTATTGATATTATGCAAGTACAAGCAAAATCATCAAATCCAATCTTCTCTTTTAATAGGTATTGATTATTTATATTTTTTTTTGAAAGTTTTTGGTTGAAACCATTTTTCTATTATTCAAGATTATGTAGGTCTTAGTTCCCCCGGTTGGATTGTTTCCCTCTCTAACTTAATCGTCTAACAATAATCATCTATATAGTAGATGGGGCTTATTTCCGGTCTAATTTTTTTTTTTTTTTTGTCACTTGTCATTATCTACATCTACACCTATTCCTAGTTCTAATCTAACCTATACTAGGGGGTGACCCAACAGGATCACGGAGAATCTATGAGAACTAAATCACCATCGAACCATATGAGTGCACAGCATCCACGTGGATCTTAAGCAAACTCAAGAGTTGAATCCTTGACCCCATCCACATTACTATTTCCGGTCTATTAGTTATGTTAAAGACTAAGCAGAGCCCAAAAGTCAAAACTATAGCCTTCAAAAGAGGACTCGAAAGTACTGGGAACTGCATTTGTCGACGTGTATGAACAAATCCCTCGTCAGCATCAACCAAACCCGCCCTAAAAGGCTAAAACCCTCCACCGCCTCCTTTTTTTCCAGAGTCAGAAAAAATGGCCACCCTCCCACTCCTGCGCCCCTCCGTCCTCCGCCACCCTATCAATCCCCTCCACCGCAAACTCCATCCACCCCCTCCCCACAGCACCCATCTCAAATTCCCGCAGCCATCAAAACCTGTCACTTCCCCTATGTCCGTCTCCGCATCCTCCAAAACTCCAACCCCCGCCGCAGACCGTCTAATGTCAGCCGCATCCTACTGCTACCCCCTCTTCAATGGGTTCCAATACGGCCGCTTCCTCTTATCCGAGTACCCCATTTTAGCGACTCCCTTTAAACCCATCATCCCTGTCGTGTCTGCCTACCACTCCATCCCCTACGCCTCCTTCATCTCCTTCTTCGCCTTCTACCTGGGCATCGTCCGAAACCCGAACGTCAGCCGGTACGTCCGTTTTAACGCTCTTCAGGCTCTGGTACTCGACGTGGTCCTGGTGGTGCCGATGATGGTGCAGCAGATTTTGTCTCCGGGGCTGAATCTCACCATCTTGGGATACAATTGCCTCTTTGTGTTCTTGGTGGCTTGCTTTGCTTATGCACTTGGGTGTAGCGTGCTTGGGAAGACTCCTTACTTGCCTTTTATTGCTGAGGCTGCCAGCAGACAATTGGATTACTCCTAAGTTTCTCACATATTTCTGATTGCTGTGTAAAAATTTTTGGTTGATTAGGAAACAAAAAATAGTGATGTTTATGCTTGTAACTTGTTGCAAATGTGTTTTTTTTTTTTGTGTTCCCTTTCTTTTTTGTCATTGACTTTGAGAAAGCATACGCAAAAGTGGTTGACAACATATATTGCGAACTTGCAATCTGTTTACACGAAAAACTATCATGTTTATCACTTTATGCATAATTTGCTTGCCCCGTTTGGCAAGTGAATTTTTTTGGTGTTTATCTAAAACTTTACTGTAATTTATTGTAGAAATTTTTTAAAAAAATTTTGAAGTGTGTTTTTTTTTGAATATTTTGAAATGTATAGTTTAAAAATTTTAAAAAGTTTTTTGAACTTACTATAATTAAAGTTTTTAAAAAATTTGTAGCAGACAAACTTGGCAAAAAATTTGTCGCAAAAACAAAGTCATATGACAGGGAAGGTTGCAAGATCTTCAATATTTAGTGATAAATTCATCTATGCATACTTTATAATGTAAGACGGGGGATTGGACATTTTTTCTTGCATGTGTAATTTTTACGTGTGAAACTCATAATACAAATCTTAATTGACGTGAGTAAGCATAATCAACTAATATAATAAAAAGTGAAGAGAAAAAATTTACATAATCACTACTCTCTTTTTTTTTGTTTTGACGAAACGGCAGAATTATGTTGCTTGAGCCAAAAATATTTACAAACGAGCAAAGACTTGATACATAATCACTACTCACTAGTTTAGCTTTTGTGCTTAGAATAGGAGAATATTTTGGTGTTGCAACCAGATGACTAGACAAGGATTAACTTCATTTGTTTCTTGGTGAAAATATATTGTAAGAAAATATATTTTTGGTGAAATTTTTGTAAAAAAGTGTACTATGATAATTTGATATATTTGAGATAAAAAGATGATTGAGAAATGTGTTTAAAAGAAAAGCAAAATTTTTCTAAGTCAAGAAGAGTATTAGGAAATTCTACACATATGTTGGACTACATTTTAAGGTAACAGGTGTAATTCTCCTCCAATCCAAAACCCACTAAAAACCCCACCATTTATTTGTCTTCTGCTCCCAAATCAACAAATGGCCGGTCTCCCAATTCTCCGCCTCTCCGTCCTTCCCCATCCGCTCAAACCCCGCCACCCAAAGCTCCACCCACTCCTCCCCCACCGTCCACCACCCCTCAAAACCCCTTCACCACCCATTTCCTCCTCCTACAGCCCCACCCCCGCCACTGACCGCCTAATCTCTGCCGCATCCTTCTTCTTCCCACTCTTCAACGGCCTCCAATACGGCCGCTTCCTCTTCTCTCAATACCCCATCTTAGCTGCCCCCTTCAAGCCCATCATCCCTCTCCTGTCTCTCTACCACTCGGTCCCTTATGCCTCTTTTGTCTCCTTTTTTGCCCTCTACATCGGCATAGTCCGGAACCCTAGTCTTAGCCGCTACATTAGATTCAATGCTCTCCAAGCCCTTGTTCTTGATGTTCTTCTGGTGGTGCCCATGTTGATTCAGAGGATTTTGTCTCCGGGCCAAACTGGCCTCGGGCTCAAGCTCACCATTTGGGGGTATAATGCTCTGTTTGTGTTTTTGGTAGCTTGCTTTGCTTATGGGCTGGGCTGTAGTGTGCTCGGGAAGACTCCCCACTTGCCTTTTGTTGCTGCAGCGGCTGGCAGACAAATCGATTAAAATCCTCATCATCGCTTAATTGGAATTCCCAGATTCCATGAGGAATGTTTGGTCTCTCCTAACTGATGTTCTAGAGTTTAAATCCTTCTTTTGGTGTAGAAGTCATGTTTGAGGAGTTGACCATGTAAAATGTTGCAAAGAAATGTTCATTGCAGCCTGTTTTTTTGTTGAAAAATGTTATAGTTGCAAGACTAGTGCATTTAGGTCAATTGAGGAATCTAGCTGGAATTTTCTTGTTTGATATTGTATTGCTGTCTGATGCTTATGCCTTCGTTGGTTTTTTATCATGCAAAACACTTTTAAAAGATAGCGTCCAGCTTGAAGTGTCTGCAAAGCTCAATCTAATCTACTCAAACGTTAAGATGGTTAAATTGACTGTCTACTAGTTAATTCTGGCACCTGTGGTTGTTGAGGCAGTATGCTAATTTTTTATCCAAATGTAATTGTTAGCTACACTGGTTTAGATTAGGCAACGTGTTGTAGAATGGTAGAAGTAAGTTTGGATGTATTGTTTTAGCATCTCATCTTAATAGATGAGCCAAAGAAATTAAGCAATGGATAATATATGTTGTACCTATGACAACTTCTGATCCCAATGAAATCTTTTCTTGTACCCTGGTCAGGCATTTTTTCTTGTTATTGAGCGCAGAGAGAGTGAGAAACTCTGTGGTTGTGTGTTACTTTCTTTAGGATCTGGCCGCATGATTCCTGAACATTTGAATATGAGGCCCTATGGATTGGAGTCTAGAAAAGGATAGTCCGTGTAACCAACTACTGGGTCAGATGTGTAAAAAGTGCTCCTGTCATATTTGTTAAGAGGTGAATTGAGCTCAAATCCCCTTGGTAAGTCTGGGTTGGCCAAGAATAGTCGTCCATATGCAGCAAGATCTGCTCCACCTTGGCTTATAACTTTATTTCCGTCGTCTCTATCATATCCGCCAGCAACAATGAATGTTCCTTTGAAGGCTTTTCTCATAGGCAAAAGACTGTTTCTAGTTGTCAACTTATCAAATTGTGTGATCATCCTGGGTTCAATCACATGACAGTAAAGTAGGTTGTACTTGTTCAATGCCTCAGCCATGTAGAGTCCAAGTGATTCAGGGTTTGAGTCTCCTGAGTCATTGTAATTAGCAAATGGTGAGAGCCTAATTCCAACTCTTTGAGCTCCTATCTCATCAGCAACTGCTTCCACCACTTGTAGAGGCAAGCGACATCGATTCTCAAGGCTCCCACCATACTCATCGGTTCTATCATTTACCTGATCCTTCATGAACTGATCCACTAGGTATCCGTTGGCTCCGTGAATCTCAACCCCATCAAAACCTGCAGTATATTAGGACAGAGGGGGCTTTGTTACTGAGAGATTTCAACTACGGATACAAATTTTGTTGGTTTCCAAAGGGACTGATCTGATTAACTCATGGCTGAGACGGATGATGACCTGCTTCAATGGCGTTCTTAGCTGCAATGCTGAAGTCATTGATTACTTGAGAGATCTCTTCAACTGCTAATCGCCTTGGGCATGGGAAAGATGCTCCTCCAGAGCCATCAATATGGAAATCAAATTTAATTGGCTGGTCAGTACAGGAGATTGGGGGACTTCCATTAGGCTGGCAACCTGTATATTGCTATATTGAGTGCTTTTTAAGTAATAGGCACAAGAATGAGGGAGGGAACCAAGAGGAATTCTCATGACTTAACTGTAATTTGAAGCTCTTCCAGCATGCCATAGTTGGCAGAAAAATATTCCTCCTTTCTCATGAACTGCATTCACAATGGGTTTCCATGCTTCTACTTGTTCCTTTGTCCATATTCCAGGAGTATTTGGATAGCTGAACATATATATATACACACGTAAGGAGAAGATGTTAAAAGGAAAAGGAGGTAAAATTTGATTTACATGATGATGACCAAGAAGAAACTGATGATAGAGTTGAAGAAACAGCTTGAACTTCCGAGACCTTGAGGAAGCCTTTATATAAATAAACAACTGCCGTTGGTGATCTGATTTTGTACATAAAATTGATTTCTTAAAGAACATAACCAGGCTGGCTATTTTTGTGGCAAGCAATTTAAAAAGTAATCGAAGTTAACAAGCCAAACTGTAACTTACATACCCTGGAGCAGTCTCTGAGATTCCGGAGGCTTCTCCAATCAAAAAACCACCTGGTGTAGTTCTTTGAGAGTAGTAAAGAATGGCATGGGGTTGTGCAACGAAATTGTAAGATCTGAGTCTTGATTGAGGAGCCAAAACAACCCTTATGACCAAGAAACATCCGGATGAGAGATTAACTACGAAATCTATATGAATGGTACAAGCCACATTGAAATTTTGACTAGTAAATGAAGGCTGATATTAGCCTTGGCTCATGAGTATCTCTACTTGGCTGCAGAATTCATTCAAGAACAATCAACTTTATTACTAACAGCAGCTTGCATTTTAATCATTTGTATCCACTGGAATTCCAAGTTGGGAAAATACATGAGAGCCAGTTTTACACATTCTTTCGCTCTTCTTCGAACCATAAACGAGAGAAACTAGGAAGAAAAATGAAAACAACATACCTGTGGGAAAGATCAAATGTGCCCATCTTGTAAGGCGTTAAGAGAGGAATGGTCTCAGCTTCACTTGTACGATGATTTTCCTTGCTTTGCTCTTCCATGTTCTCTCCTTGCATTTCCTCTGTTCCGTCAAACCTATGGCTTTGTGGAAATCCTAGCACCAAGCAGATTTCTGGTAATGGCATTTTTATACCAAGTAACATCTCTTTCTACTAAGTGCGAATGTTTCGACTTCCTTAGATTTTCTCTGCCAATCAACATCGAGCAGGGCGTGGCTCTGGTAGCAACGTAACGTAACAAAACTGGTTATGTGGTATGTATGTGGGAATTGGGAATGGTCCAACATTAGAAAATTTTGCCAAATGATGCTGGCAGTCAATTAGTGTTTAAATTCCAATCGAAAGTTTCTACGAAAAATAAAGCCTGAAGCATATTGTAAATTCTGGAACAGAAAAGAAATCAGAATACGCCAACCAGCCAGCCAGCCAGCCTGTTGTTATTGGTGATTTGGCATGCCAAACTTGCATGACTAGTAGTACTAAATATTATGACAAATGCGTTCTTCTACTGTCCCGTACCTACAACAAAGGCATAGTTGACATCCGGAACCTGGCGGCCGTATTTGGATTGCATTTTCTAGATTTTTTATAGGAAAATTACTGTAGCAATTTAATATATGTGAGATAAAAAGGTGATTGGGAAATGTGTTTATAGAAAACGTAGCAATTGTTCTTTGGAAAATGGCTGCCCAAACAAGGCAATGCACGATCGAGTAAGAGAAGTGATATTTGCACTCTCCAAATAGCCTCTAGCATTTCTTCCAAATTATATATTTTTAGTGGGAATAATTTCAAAAACCTCTCCTGAGGTTTCTGACCTTCTCTT